GTGGCAGCCAGTGTATACGCTTGTGCACCCCCCCCCCCCCCCCAAAAAAAATCCCCTTTCACTTATATTGGTTACTTACTCAGAGGTTTTTGTTTGGTTCGCCTGTTGTGTGGTTTCAGGTATTTAAGGAGCTTAGACCGGCCGGGAACCTAAAGGTACAGGGACGGGTCAAGAGTGAAGACCGGAGTATGGACCAAGTCGATGGAACATCTAAAGGGGGCAAGATCGCGAGAAATTTGAAATTATGTGTAATAAATTCAAAAATTAAAGCGTATGCTGCGGGCAGCGATATTCTATTTCAGGGTTGAGGTGTAATTGATAAATGATTTATGTTCGTTTGAATCGGTGAATTAGGACATAAATATATATATTGGTACAAGCTTCTCGTGCCACATGCCTTGTGGGTTTTCGTTGACGAAACACCCTCCACGCGCTTACATCCGGGCTAACAAGAGTGATAAAAATAGCTTTTATAATTGTTGTAAAATAAAGTTTATATTTAACAAGATATTGTGTCATATAATTGTATCTTTGTTAATTCTAACCAAAGTTGTAGGCAGATCTTCATTTTGCTAAGTCTTGACACTTTATGATTGTATACAGGTTAGTGGTATATATTTGTATCCTTTTTAAAATAAACCCGAATTTCTTAGTTATATGACTGTCCCCTTGCTAAGTAACCCCCTGCTTTGTCAAACGTTTAAAACTGACAAGACAATTCTCTAGCTCTTCAAAATTTCTCCGATACGGCGTCGCTGTGTTGTAATAAAGAAAGCCCGTTTTCATTTACAACAGTTGAGTATTTATGTTTTATGCATTGGAACTCTGGTCGAACTTATGTGATCATCCTCACACCTTTAAATTCGTTGCTGTATGACTAAACTAAAACTTCCTGACGCCTGATGTTAATTTAATGTGACGTGGCTATTTTTAAAAAGGTAATCATTGTATTGAATTATCTATTTGAATAATCTCTTATCAGCAATTTAAATAAATGTATTATCTATTTTGAAAGGTATTTTAACATGAAAAAAGGCGGACTGAGTCTCTTAATATGAAGTAAATAAATAACATCTACGAAAGCTTTCTACATGTAAAGGTCGAATTCAAGTTTACAGACAGTTGAAGAATTTCAAACCACGCTTGCTCATATTTATTGATTCTGAAGTCATAAATCCTCCGTTTGAATTGATCGTCAAGCACTGAAGACATTCAAAGGCGGTTTTTTTGTTTGAAGATACGACAGGAATACAGAAAATTCAAATAGTTTAATTTCGTTTCTTGATTCGGACAGATAGACCGTATGTATTTTATTTATTCTATAAACTTTAATCATGCGTGGGGTAGGTCCTCATTCATGGAAGGTAAGTTATATCTTTCATAGGCTATACCCATGTCCTACAGGCTAGAGGCTAGGAATACTTTGGAACGCGTCCCCGTTTTTTTTTAGATTAAATTACTTCGTTTTAGTTATGTTAAAGGATACCTCTACACCAGTTTTAGTTAAGTTAAAGGATACCTCTACACCAGTTTTAGTTAAGTTAAAGGATACCCCACACCAGTTTTAGTTAAGTTAAAGGATACCTCTACACCAGTTTTAGTTAAGTTAAAGGATACCTCTACACCAGTTTTAGTTAAGGTAAAGGATACCCCACACCAGTTTTAGTTAAGTTAAAGGATACCTCTACACCAGTTTTAGTTAAGTTAAAGGATACCTCTACACCAGTTTTAGTTAAGTTAAAGGATACCTCTACACCAGTTTTAGTTAAGTTAAAGGATACCTCTACACCAGTTTTAGTTAAGTTAAAGGATACCTCTACACCAGTTTTAGTTAAGTTAAAGGATACCTCTACACCAGTTTTAGTTAAGTTAAAGGATACCTCTACACCAGTTTTAGTTAAGGTAAAGGATACCCCACACCAGTTTTAGTTAAGTTAAAGGATACCTCTACACCAGTTTTAGTTAAGTTAAAGGATACCTCTACACCAGTTTTAGTTAAGTTAAAGGATACCTCTACACCAGTTTTAGTTAAGTTAAAGGATACCTCTACACCAGTTTTAGTTAAGTTAAAGGATACCTCTACACCAGTTTTAGTTAAGTTAAAGGATACCTCTACACCAGTTTTAGTTAAGTTAAAGGATACCTCTACACCAGTTTTAGTTAAGTTAAAGGATACCCCACACCAGTTTTAGTTAAGTTAAAGGATACCTCTACACCAGTTTTAGTTAAGTTAAAGGATACCTCTACACCAGTTTTAGTTAAGTTAAAGGATACCCCACACCAGTTTTAGTTAAGTTAAAGGATACCTCTACACCAGTTTTAGTTAAGTTAAAGGATACCTCTACACCAGTTTTAGTTAAGTTAAAGGATACCCCACACCAGTTTTAGTTAAGTTAAAGGATACCTCTACACCAGTTTTAGTTAAGTTAAAGGATACCTCTACACCAGTTTTAGTTAAGTTAAAGGATACCCCACACCAGTTTTAGTTAAGTTAAAGGATACCTCTACACCAGTTTTAGTTAAGTTAAAGGATACCTCTACACCAGTTTTAGTTAAGTTAAAGGATACCCCACACCAGTTTTAGTTAAGTTAAAGGATACCTCTACACCAGTTTTAGTTAAGTTAAAGGATACCTCTACACCAGTTTTAGTTAAGTTAAAGGATACCCCACACCAGTTTTAGTTAAGTTAAAGGATACCTCTACACCAGTTTTAGTTAAGTTAAAGGATACCTCTACACCAGTTTTAGTTAAGTTAAAGGATACCCCACACCAGTTTTAGTTAAGTTAAAGGATACCTCTACACCAGTTTTAGTTAAGTTAAAGGATACCTCTACACCAGTTTTAGTTAAGTTAAAGGATACCTCTACACCAGTTTTAGTTAAGTTAAAGGATACCTCTACACCAGTTTTAGTTAAGTTAAAGGATACCTCTACACCAGTTTTAGTTAAGTTAAAGGATACCTCTACACCAGTTTTAGTTAAGTTAAAGGATACCCCACACCAGTTTTAGTTAAGTTAAAGGATACCTCTACACCAGTTTTAGTTAAGTTAAAGGATACCTCTACACCAGTTTTAGTTAAGTTAAAGGATACCTCTACACCAGTTTTAGTTAAGTTAAAGGATACCTCTACACCAGTTTTAGTTAAGTTAAAGGATACCTCTACACCAGTTTTAGTTAAGTTAAAGGATACCTCTACACCAGTTTTAGTTAAGTTAAAGGATACCCCACACCAGTTTTAGTTAAGTTAAAGGATACCTCTACACCAGTTTTAGTTAAGTTAAAGGATACCTCTACACCAGTTTTAGTTAAGTTAAAGGATACCTCTACACCCGTTTTAATATCGAAGGAGAGTTCCACTCCGACATAAAGGAGTTTACAGTAGCTTAGAGTGACCTCCCCTGTCAAACGTTTAAAATGCTTTTCGATCATTTAGCCCGTTCAGTATAGACTACTACCCATATATCTACAGCTGATAAGTAAAACGTGGAGAACGATATAAGAATTAGTTGTAGCAAAATAACCTTATGTTAGTATTAACTTATTGTAGCGTTAATAGGTTTAAATAAAATTAGTCTACGCTTGATTCCGGTTGTAAAATATATCATACTTAACACCCATTGCATACCATAAATACAGAAACACAAATTAATCGGAATTAACGATGGGACTACAAGTTAAAGGTTGTATAAGTCCCCACAGACTATCTTTGTAAGTTTCGTCGGCGCCGGTATTCAATCAATTATATTTATACACAGACTGTGGTTCATTTAGAACACATAACGAGTTTATATAGAATAACCCCGCTACGTACATTATACATATGAGCACTTGTGATCATTCTCTTCATGAACTAGACTTATCAATTCTGAAAAATGACATTTATTGTGTTAATATGAGATACGTTTATACATATATAAATGCATGTGTATTTATTTCCTGTACCTTATAAATAGTATTTATCAATGAAATTGATCAGTAGAAAAAAGGAGTGATGCGTTCAGATAGAAGATTACATTTTATGATAAAGTTAATTGATAAATGACAAGCAGAATTTTGAACTAATTGACAAATTGGAAGAAATTAATTTCGAAATTTCGTCTTTGTAAACAGATTATTTTGCCAGTCTTTTCCCAGACAGTTGCCTCATTTTCTGTTAGACGTCGCCAGTTCTGTGCTTCAATCTTACATTAATGTCTATTAAATTAAACTTTTCCGTTCGCTTTCATTCAAATGATTACTCATGTCTATCAGTCAAGCTTATTTTGCGGGTGGTGGAGATCGGGAAAAATTGTTTAAATACAAGAAGAAGATAACGTACAAAATGACAGATACAGTATTTGAAAATGTCTATCAAATTGACTTTTTAAGGAATCATTTTATATTGAAACCGCGATGGCATACACTCGGCATTGGACGCCAGAATGGTTTTCAGAAAAAACAGTAATTAGACGGGTTTTTTAAGTGACGCAAAGTTGATTTTTAAAGGACAAGATATAAAGGTCGTGCGTGGGTAACGTTGGAATCGTACGTCAATATTTATTTATGTCGTACAGTGTTGGTGACGTCATATGTTATTGTTGGCGTCATACATTATTGTTAACGTTTTGCGTTATCGTTTTTGACGTCAAACATTATATTTGTATGTTATTGTTGACTTCACACGTCATTCTGGTTCGTTATTGTTGCCGTCGTACGTTATTGTTGTTAAAGTTACATGTAAACGTTATTACTTTTGACGTCGCACTTTACTTTTGTTTACGTCGTACACTATTATCGATGAAGTCGTACGCTATTATTGTTGACGACGTACGCTATGATTGTTGACGACGTACGCTATTATTGTTGACGACGTACGCTTTTATTGTTGACGTCGCACACTACTTTTGTTTACGTCGTATACTATTATGTTAGTTGTTTATATCGTACGTTATTGTTGTTGACGTTTCATAAAAAATGTAATTCAAACACGAGCACTAAGATAAAATATGGCTGCTCTTACCTTGCAGGAGTATGTTGTGCAGGGATCCGCCTTGTCCGTCCATAGAGAATTACTGGAGAAATATTCTCCGTCAACCGTGCAGCCTTTACACACTTCGCAACACTTCCGGTGGCCACTTAACAGATAGTCAAACAAGATCATGTAACACCCTTCCAAACTCTCGCATTTCTCGCGTCTACATTCCACAGCTCCCGCCTGGAAAAATTAAAGACAAAATTCTAAAAAAGAAAAACAAATAGTTTTAAGACAATTGAAAGAGATAACTACTTTTTTCTGTATTCAACATAAATACTGTTACCACTTCTCATAATTTATATTTTATTCGATCACTTAAATCTTCCAACTACAGTTAGCCAGTACTCTAGTGTCTATTCATCGATATACGTATTCATTCATTTATTCATTGCCGTATTAATTTGTTCACTACTATTCATTCATTTTATTTACCAATCCTCATTAATTCATTCATCCATTCATCATTATTTATCATTCATTCATTTTATTTATCCATCCCCATTCACTCATTCATTCATTTTATTTATCCATCCCCATTCACTCATTCATTCATTCCTTTCTGTATTCACATTTTATTCATGCATCCCCATTCATTCATTCATTCATTTTATTCACCCATTCCCGTTAATTCATTTATTTCCTTATTCATTATATTCACCATTCCCAATTCATTCATTCATTCATTCATTTATTCACCCTTCCCCATTCATTCATTCATTCATTTTATTCACCAATCCCCATTCTTTTATCCATTTATTCTAATATATCCAACCAATCTTTCTATCACTTAGTCACTGAAAGCTATCAATCAATCAGTCAATTTGTTCATTATATTAACCCAAGCCCGTATCATTTACCTAAGTTTAGATAAGTTCGGTCTTTACCAGCTATGAAGAACAGTTTGATACATATAGCTAGCCGTCCAACATTTGCAGTAGATGAACTTCCCAGCAAGTACCAGTATCCTAACGCCATTAAACAGCTCAGAGAGCGCAGCTGCACACTAGGAGGTGAAATACGATAACCTATCTCGTTCTATTATCTACACTATATGCACTGATCATTCTTAAGGTTATATATTTTAGATTTCTTTGAAATTTCTACGTTTACGAAAGATAATTCCTTATCAAAAAAAATTCAACATTGTACGTTACTATAATGTTGTTCAGGAATTCAAACACCTGGAGAAATAAAGATGATGGAAGTGAATTCCGAAATCGTAGCGTGTGTTGCATTATTATCTACATTTTCGCAGTGTGCTTTATAAAACATTTAGAAGTGCACGCATGTTGCTGTCATTGATAAATTATATTTTACAGATCTGTCAGTGAACGGACTTTGTTAAAATGAAGGCGACATTGAAACGTTGCAGATAGACGAATTTCTGAATGAAGGTGTCATAAATCATAAAATATTCAAGATAGTTCACAACAGCGACAGAAATAATATAAGTATAACATCTAACGGAAATGTTTGTTAAAAAACTGAAAACTTGTTTTCCGGAATTCGCTTTCCGGGAACGCATTCAAAAATTAGCAAAGACAAACTTAGAAAGGTTGGTTCTACTGCACGTGCTTTACACGTGGAAGCGCAATAATTCATGCAGTACGAGATAAAATTGATATGTCGGTCAGATTTCCTTTCTCGAACTCTTGAAGTTGAAGATATTGCATGAATACGTATTTTATTTAAATTGAAACTGTGCGTAAAGTTTAGTCTTAACGTATACAATAATGTGCCGATGTCGTAAACAAATATATATTTCAATCGAATACATGTACGTCGTTTGTGCAGACGAGGAAATAAAAACCATACATTTTCATAGTTCTGCTATTGTTTGAGCATCATTCAACAGATAAATTTACTTGATCGTGCAATAAAATACGTCATTTCATAGTGTCGTCATAATTATTTGTCCCGCCAAAACAGAAATCGGACAAATCCCGCCACTGAGATCAAAAAGATCGAAGCCAGTGTTCAGCATTACAATCTATGTACAAATTATGTAGATCGACGCTGCATGTAGCGATGTTTGTCTGCAGCCGATACGAGTAATAGTGTGGTACAAGAAGTTACCAAACCGAAGGGAATGCTAATTGATCGAGGCCAGCGGGTACTACGGTTGGATTAGCGAAACAGATGTTGGGGATCGCCTTTCAAACCTCGGAGCTTTATTATGTAATCTCCAAACACGAGTGCGGGTAATAAAATCCGGAAAAAGTTGATGACGTTTCAAGAAGGACCTATTATCAGGTGGAGGCGAGCACAATGCTGCAAGTCATTCCTGCAATCATTGTGATGACATATTACATATTTAACGTTTAAATTTCAAGTTTTTAATTTCAACATACTGCACAACAGCTCTGACAGATATTAGCTGCACAGGTGCACAATCGTTATAAATCCAATTAAAGGTGATTCATTATAGCTAGGTAATTACTGCCTAGCTGCCATCTTTCTGCGAGCCAGTATTAAATCCTNGGGGGGGGCGACTTGTCTCTACTTATCGATTCGAGGACAGTTGTCAGTTGCAATGTATCGACACCTTATGTCAACATGTCGCGTTTTGTTATCTTTATAATACTTTTCAAAAAATAACATTCCAAATACCGCACCCAGCGTTAGCTTATTATTGCAAGTGTTAATAAGTTTGCAGATTGACGAATATCTTTGCAAAGTTTGACAAATTTTGTTTGAAAAAAGTCTCATGATTCGTCCTCCATATTAGGATAACATTTGATTTTAAAATACCGTAAATATGTAATACATTCTGTATACATTGCATTTCTACAATTACATCAAGTTCATTACTTAACACAACTTTTTTTTAAAGTTTTTCTAATTATTGTTTACCCGAACTTTTAGCATTATACAAGAAATGTCAAGCATTTTTTTTTTATTTCCGGTGTCAATTTCTATCACATCAGATTGAGAATGTAAATAAAGGTGCAGAATCAAATTATGTTTTCTAGTTTTTAAGTGAAGAATTTAGATGAAATATAACGAACCGGGTTTTCGACACTTGTGACCCAACATTATTCATATAAGACTAGGATGTACTTAACGTATAAAATCCATCTTGCGATAATTTTGAGAACAATAGAACAATTTTTGTTTAAATAAATATAAACTTATTGTATTTCACAACAATTATGAATCAAATATATATATTTGTATCAGTCTATCTTGTTAGCCCGGATGGAAGCGCATAGGGGCTCTTTGGTGAGAGGAAACCGGAGTACCCGGAGTAAACCCACATTGTCGGGCAGGTGAGTTCATACCTTGACACGTCCGATCGGGAATCGAACCACGACCGTCTTGTTAAAAGGCGAGTGTGCTACAATGTATCCACTGCGCCACCGACCACCCATAAAACAAATCTCTTTTTTTGTGTGAATATCTTTTTCTTTGAATGTGAATAATTCGTTCTCTGTATGTAATTATTTTCTTGTTTGTGAGTCGTTAGCTAAGAGTTATAATGCGTTCCCGTCAGAATGATGTCTCGGATACATTAGTCGCCCTGTGTATTTTTATACAAGTTACACAATACGCCGTTCGTTTCAATTATCGGCTGCCTTCTCAAATGATAGGGTTATTTATCAACATACACCATTAGATGATGTTTTACTTCTCAATCGTATAATGGGAAAACTGTTCTCAAATATAATCACTTGTAAGAAATGAAATATAGTCAACATTTTATATGTACCACTTCATCTTTCACAAAATACCGGGCATTTAATTGGTATTTAAGAAATATTTACAACCCATTTATTTGTTAAATGTCGCCGTCTCTGAAAGAGGAAATATCTATAATATTATCGCATGGTATATAACCTTTAAAGAATCAGAATTCTAATCTTTTAAAAAGAAACAGATAGATTCTTAACATATCAGAAAATGCCGACATCTGACCCAGTCCCTTGTAAATCAACCTTTCCTCGCCCGAGACGTACTGTTTGGGGCTGGAGCCAGACCCAAAGTGTTCAAAGTTTCAACAACTTTTCAAACTCCAAATTTTCAATTTTATATTTAAATATTTCAAATAACGTTATAATTTTTTTATGAAGCTTGTCTGTAGATGTTACTTCTGAATCAGACACATAACCTCTATAACCATTTTTGTATTTCAATATCTTTGATGAAAGGGTGTGTTTAGCGCTCGTTAAGCTTAACAATCTTTTAAGAAGTGGGCCTCGACGTTTTTGTCTGGTATACCTGTCTCCAACCCTAGGCGTAAGTTGTATAAAACCGCACTCAAGTGCTAGTTCAAAAACTGTTAGGCAAGGGACAGCAAACAGTTCGGTCGACTGTCTGCTCCGATGCCATTCATACACGATAATAAGGGTAGTCAATTTCGCTCGCGCTGTACTCGCGCTAGATTACAAGAGAAATTAGCATCGTCTGTTTGTAAGCCGCGATTAAGGGTACACGTGTTCGTTTAATTATTCAGTAGTTTGCAATACTATTTTATAAACGTATGTGTTTTTCGAATGCGTGCACAGTATTGTCAACAATCATACAGTAGCAAAATTATAACAAAAGATAAAAGAGAAGAATGTTATCTATCATTAGTAAATTTTGAGCAAAATTTCGAATGTGTACACAGTATCGTCAACAATCGTAAAGAAAACAATTATACAGTAAAAAAATTAAAGAGAAGCATTTTATTTATCATTACTAAATTTTTCAACACAAACAACTACTATACAAGTATAAGAATAAGTAACGACATTTTAGACTATTGTACCAACGTATGTTTTCGAATGTGTGCACGGTATCGTCAACAATCGTTAAGAAAATGAAGCCATGAAATTGAAACCAAACATAAAGAGGAAAATTTTATTTATCGAAACTAAATGTTGAACAAAGACAAAACTATTAAAAGTATTAAAAGTATTAGAATAAGTAACGATATTTTTGAGATTGTAACTGATAAAGCTAAATGAATTCCTCTGGACTTTTTGTATAACATGTAACACCTCAAACAAAAAGGAAATTTTAAATTTAATTAAAAACTCGTAACACAGAAAAAAATAGTTTTTCGAGTTTGGTTTGTTTGTGCTATACGTCCTATTAACAGATATGGTCATTTAAGCCAGGTTTTGGTAGCGGAGGAAAACCGGAGTACCTGGAGAAAAAACTAACTATCCGTTGCCAGTACCTGGCGACTGGCCCTC